GGAATTCTCAAATTCTTGCACTATTGGATGGAACAACATTCGCAACATTTCACCAATAACATGATTGCCAAGGTGCAAAAGTTATTGAACCATGAAAATCATAATAATTCCTCACCTAAATTCATCAAATTGAGAAAGGATATTTTACAACACATTGAACAAGGTCAATCCACTGAAAAGAAAAATCCATCGAGTGTCAATGTCAATTATATTGAACCTAAAGTGCCAATGCAAAAGATTTTCTGTGAAACTCTTTCATTGGATGATATAGATGAGGAGGAAATTGCAAGACAATTAACACTTTATGAATATGACTTGTTTGTCGCTATTGGATTGGAAGAATTAATGAGTTTCGGATGGAAACGTTTGAAATTCAAACACAGATGTCCAAATATCAACAAATTGTTAATTCATTTTGAAAATGTCACCAAATGGATTAGTTTTTCAATTTGCAAACCAAAATCTAAAAATCCAATCAAGAGATGCATTTCAATTTGTGAACATTTGAAAAAATTGAATAATTTCAACACACTCAAAGCTATCCTAAATGCTTTCGAATATGGCGAGGTCAAAACCTTAAAAATTAATCAATCAGAACAAGCAAACAAGATGAAATTCCAACAACTCATGTCTGAAGAATCAAATTACCAAGAATACAGACAAACACTCAAAGAATCATCTGAGGAAAACACATCAATCATTCCATACGTCAGACTTCATTTAAGAGATTTATTTCTAGTGGAAGAAAATCAAAATGATTTTGTAATTGGACCAAATTCAATTGAATTTATTAATTGGATGAAGAGAGAATCAATGTATGATATTGTAAAGGAAATTAAATATTTCCAATCGTTGCCTTGTTATCAATTTACAAAAGTTTATCAAATTCAAGAATTACTTAGAAATATTCAAATTGAATAAATCAATTTCAAAGTTGTACCAAAGATATTTTTATTGTGAGTTGGGTGAGAACTTTTTATTCGAAATCAAAACAGTAAAAAAAATGCCAAACTTGTTTGATTTGCTTGATGAAGAGGAAAATGATCAGCAAGAACAGCAAATACCAAAGAAATTATCTAAAAGAGCTCAAAAGAAAGCTCTAAAATCAACACAATCTGTCCAAGTACAACAAAAATTTGAAACTTTGGACGAATCTCCGTTTAAACTTGTTTATGAATTGGAAGAATTATGGCTAATCGTTTTGGAATATTTACCTGTCCGAGATATCTATCAACGAATTAATTTACTAAACTCGGTGGAATCAGTACGAATTCACAAGAATGAATTTTTTGTAAAATTATTGAAAAGAGATTGTAATGGATTTTTTAATCTGGTTGACCGAGAGATGAAATTCAAGATTATTTCTGGAATTGATAAGGAGATTTTTTTCAAGAGTGTTTCTGATACTCTGATGTCACCTCATATGGCTAAGAAGAAAGCTCTTCAAGAAAAGGAAAGAACTTTGAAAGATTACAATAATTGTAAAGTAATTTTCAAGAATATTCACAATCAATTAGCATGTTTGCAGAAGGAAAACGAAGTTCAAGAAGAAAATCGAATGCACCATGCAAGATTCTTCCTCGAACGTGAACTTTCAAAGATTAAAAACAAAGTACTAATCCAGAAGAAACAAACTGAATGTTCGCACTTTCGTATCTCAAGAAGCAGTATCAAAGGAGATGAGAAATTCAAATATCTCTTCCAGTGTGAACTATGTGGAATTGGTATGAAAACTAATTTCCTCCCAGAAGCAATCTATTCGAAACTCAAAGTAACANCCATTTTTGATTATGATATTTTTGGAAAGTACACTATTTATCATACTGAGGAAGCTGGATATAAATTCAAA